TTTCCCTCGTTTGCATTTGCAAATTTACTTCCTTCCATTCAAGGCTGGGCTTGCCTGCGTACTTCTGTTCCTGCCTACTGTCCCCTGGACATGGGGAAACGGTTTTAAGCTGAAGTAGGTTTAGACTAGATTGCATGAAGAAGCTCTTCAGTATGAGGGTGGTGAGATTCTGGAGTAGATTGCCCAGAGAGGCTGTGGATGCCCCTCCCTGGAGGTGTTCAAGGCCAGGTTGGATGAGTCCTTGAGCAACCTGGTCTAGTTGAGAAACGTCCCTGCCCAAGGCAGGGAGGTTGAATTGGGTGATCTCTAGGGTCCCTTCCAACCTAAGCCATTCTATGGTTCTGTGTTCTTTCCAGGTGGCTACTCGTTCTCCTTCCTAGTGTGCCTGTCCTCTCTTCCCCTTGCTCCCCAGGTTTGCTCACATGCTTTTCACAGGAACATCCATCAGTTCTGTGAGGGATGGTTTTCTGCTGGGTTGTAATGTTTGTATAGCAATAGCTGTGTTTTCTTTTACATACTGCAACAGATATCATAGCATAATTTGGAAGTCTAATGACATTTTAGAAGACATTTCTTCCAGCACAAAATGTCATTTAGAATGGATATAATTTTTTTTTTTTTTAGTTATTTAAAACAGAGGACTGTCAAGTGGCACCTGGTTTGTTTTTTTTTTGACTGTTGACTAGTTGTCAAGTGTGACATTTAAGAATAGAAGTTCTCACTTTCTAATATGTATTTGTACCTCTTATGCCAAAAGTGCGACCTGACATCCTGTGCTGCATCTACCTTTGTATTTAATGCGCGTTCCTGCCAGACAGCCTTTCACAAAACCACTGGTGTTCCTACTTGGGTGGGAAGACCTGAAGATCAAGAAGCTGCAGGGCTTGGTTTTAATGATCCAGTCTACAGCATGTGTCTTGCTGAGTAATATCCTAGCATTGTCTTAACAGCCCCAGATCATCATCCAATAATAGATAACCATGACTTAAAAATGAGGTCATGAATGCCTGTAGTCATCGCAGTTTTACTTGTAGATAAAGGAATGGCTAATCTCGCCATCTCGTTACATTTTGAATGTAGAAATCATTTCCTGCTTGCTTCCTTATAATACTTAACTTGTTAATAGCAGCTTTTTCAGTTCTGACTGTCCTAGCTCTGGTTTTGTGGTAGCCGTGCTTACCTGCTTCTCTGGCCGACGGAGAGTCCTGTCTTTCAGGAGGCCTTTGTGATGAGCAATTATTCATAGGAAGATATAAAACTGTTCAAAAGTTAAACATTTCCCTTCAGATTAGAAGAAAGTTTCCAGTTTGCCTTAGTAGGCTGCAGACAGACAAGAGCAGGGTTTGCTCAGGTATTGATCTAGGGTTTGCTCAGGTCTTAATCCTTATTGAGCTGTGGCCTTTGGCAGGGCTGGCAGTTTGAGTGAAAATTAGAGTCTTGTTTTTGGGGTGGAAGAGTAGTAAAATGTCATCAGTACTATGTTGTATTAAGCTAAATTTTATATTAAATGCTAAGCAAGCTGTGATTTATCACACTTGGATGTTAATACAGTTGCTCCTGTTATTTGCCACTATGGCATAATGATCTTAAGTCGTCACTTCCTTCATTGGCATTTGGAGATAAATTACTGAATTATTATGTATTATTATATTAGCTATTTTGTAAGTATGGCTCCCCCTGGTTACACAGTTGTGACAGTTACCATATTTTCCTTCTAGATTTGCTACTTATTTAACAACTATTTGAAGAGTCACTAGATCTTGTCTCCTGCAAGTCCATGTTGAACTAAATTTTGATATTTTTTTTTTTTTTTAGCTAGCCAACTTGAGGTTTTGCTGTGCTCCTAACTGTGTTTTCACTTAACCCACCTCATTTTAATTAATTTAATCTGTCAGCTTCTAACATTGTATATAGTGGGTCCTTTTTTCACTTAATGTTTCCTCTGCCCTTTTGAAGGTGTTGATTGCATTGTATAAAGACTAAGTAGTATTTCAATCTTTTATTATTCACACTGAATCAATATCTAGAAGGGTTTACTCGTCCATTAAGAGGACAGAAATCTGAGGTTACAGTTAATTCAAGTCATAATCTTCCAGTAAAACTTGATTAAATAGCAAAATATTTCTTACATGCTACTATTTAATGTTCTAGATATTTGGGAGCTGGGAGTTGTTAGTCAGAGTAAGTCATTATTGTACTTCTATTCCCCAGGAACTTCTAAGGCAACTGCAAAAGCAATTGGGGACCTGGAATCTTGGCAGAGTGGGGTTTGCATTACAAGGTTCTGATAGACCAGTGCCATGGTGCTTTTCAAGAAATTGTGTTGTACTGGAAAGCAAATCAGTTTTCATAGAAAATTTTACTATATAAAAAGTGTACTGATTTCTTTGCATGTTATTGATCTTCCTTCACAGAACTCATGATGCTAACAGGACATTCTGTATTGCAGATTTAATCCAGTGCACAAATGAGATGAATGTGAACATCCCACAACTGGCAGACAGTTTGTTTGAAAGAACGACCAACAGTAGCTGGGTAGTGGTCTTCAAATCTCTCATCACAACCCATCATCTAATGGTGTATGGAAATGAGGTAATACCAAAAGATGTCTGAGAACAGTCATAGCATTTCCTTCCTATAAATGTCAACTAAATGCTTCCACTAATTATGTTTGTAAGAAAATCTTTATTTTTACCCTTTTGCATTTAACTCTGCACAGGTCTGTTATGTCTGTGTACTTAGTTTGGTTCTACTTTAAAGTTTGTAATTCTGGAATCAAAAGTAAGTGTCCTGAGTGCTGAAGGTAGCTTTTTTTTTTTTCTGTGGTGTTATTCTAATAGTGTAGAAAACAAGCAAAAAAACAAACAAACAAAAAAAAAAAAAAAAAAACCACAATATAAATTAGTTTGAATGAGATTCTGAAAACTGAAAATGAAAGCATTTTTACATTGGTGTTCCAGCTAATACAGAGTCACTCAGTTCTTAAGTGATTTCCACCACCACCCTCTAACCTTTTGCAGCAAAACCAAACGTGTGCTGATGAGCTGCCTTTGTGTGAACGTCTAAATAACACCAATTACTGCAGAACAATTAAACAAAACCCTCATTTACACGAAAAGGAGTAAGCTTATTTTGTTCCACAACTGAATTCCTCTGGTACCTTATTTTTTTTGAAATGCCAAGCAGAGCAGCAGCTTGAATTTTCTTCTTTAAAAAAACCCCAAACTATACTTTTAAGGCTTTCTTAGAAAGTATTGGTAAACATTGCTTTTTGCTGTAAGCAGTATAATATAAGGTATAAGAATTTTGAAATTAAGAGGGATAGCTTTAAGAAAATTACAAACAGGATTTTGTAGAGGACCCAAATTTTTCATTAAGTTGCGTCCATGTTCTTATAGGTTATGTAACTGCTTCTACTGGCTGGCTGTGTTGTGAAGGGGTTTAAGTTAAAAAAAAATACACACATACTGGTTTCTCTTGCAGGTCAGCTGCAGAGTGTTTCTGGTCTTGATGAAAAGCTATACTTTGAAGCTAAGTAAGCCACAAGAGGGCAAACTTCTCATGTTGACTTTAAGCATTATCACTGTGATAATTTACACTTCCCAAAAGAGAGTCTCTACACTTTTGCTGTGCTTGCACCTTGAGTTATATAAATTTTAAGCTGATACAATACACTTCATTGTCATTAAAGGTATTTCATGGGACCACTGTCTGAAACACTTTCCATTTTAAGAATAAAACTACCAAACAAATTTTGCTTGCCAAATAAGTTACAGAAGTAGTGAGGATAAGATTACTGCTAAAGATGAGACTTTTCACAGCTAGAAATAGCACTTGAACAATGAACATGGAAATCCAGTGCTTATGAGAATGTCTAGAAGGTTATGGAGGGCTTGTAAAAGAACCTGAAAAGCCTTTTGGTCCTTGAGCTTTTGCTTAATTTATTTGTAGCTGAGTACTGAGTGCTTTTACCCTTCTCTAGTCTTTTTTTCTGTATAACCTATGTATTTATGCTAATGAAAATAATTCAGTAGTACATGTTACAGCAATCAGCACTATTTTTGACTCTGTCAAAATGTTATTACAAGTGAATGAGTGGTTTATTTTTGTAGCAGCTGTCTATATAGTGGTTCATAAGACAAAATCGTTTTTCCTGAGTACGATGTGGTGACAGTGATCTGAAGTGTGTTTTTACAGGATGAAAATAGCATTATTCATTTTTGTGCAATGTAATTCAGAATTATATGCAATTTTCAAGGTATACTAAGTGTCATACTGTGTTAATGTTTTTTAGGGATTCATGTGTGGAACTAATGTTTTATTTATAAGCATGTGTCCTTTATATCACTTTATTTTCACATTTAAGCTAAATACTATAAAATTGAAACAACTGTGAGCATGTAAAATGAGCATGTGTTGGGGGGCGATTTTTCCCAAGTTTCCAGTTCCGTATTCTGCCTTAAAGTAGTCTTTTATTCAGAGGCCTTCATACAGCATCTATAGGACTTTGCTTTGGTCAGAGATTTTTACATTAAAAATAACTAGCTTAATTTGAAAATTTAGCTGAATTTTTTGTAATAGTTTCTGGATTTGAAATCAGTCTTAAAGCACAAAAGCTGAATTTCATAAGCTGGATAAAAAGAGTTTCTAGTACTGTTACCTCAGTTCCAGATCATTGGTAATATAATAAAAGCATTCAAATTTTTCCTTTCATCTAGCGTTTTATCCAGTATCTGGCGTCCAGAAACACATTGTTTAATTTGAGCAATTTCCTAGACAAAAGTGGATTGCAAGGTAAGGTGTCTTTTTCATTAAAAGTTAATAGTGTGTTGGGAGGGGGGGGGAGACAGTAAATAAAAGTTGGCAACTCTAATGACCATGTCATTTAAGTAATTTTCCTGTCTATTTTACCCTAGACTGCATTTCTTAATTTAAAATGTTATTGTGGCATGGCATGAAGTACCGTTCTGAAATACTGTGCTGCAGTTCAGATTTGATCATAGATGCAGCTGTTGGTTTTATTTTTGTGGTGTGTTTTTGTTTTTTTTTTTTTAACTCCTGAGGTGGTGGTTCTTTTTTCTTATATAGCTGCTTCTAATTTTTGCACGTCTGCTAAAACAATGGAATGATTGCTTGGGCATAGACACCTTTTCAGTGTCTACCAAATTTTCTCATTTTACTGAGTGTTAACTGCCATGGTCTCAGTATAGATTGTGAACAGATCTTTGTCTTGGTCTGTATCCTTAGACTGACAGTTATCAAAATATTTCCGACCACCACTGATTTAACAAACAAAAATTTGTTATGTTTTATTGTTTCCTTCAATGCCTCTTTCTCGATGTAGTTGTAAATGAGTGAAAGTGTTGCAAAGTTGATGCAAACAACTGTGTGAATACATCATGTAATTTTTTTGTCAATTTTTTTTTTTAATAATTTCTATCATAGTATGAGAACTGCCATAAAAATACTTTATTTTGCTTTTTTTCCTTAGGAAGTGAAGTGTAAACATCTACATAGTTCAGGTCTTCTAGATAACTGGAGTATTGTTTGATTCACATGGTGAACATGATGACATACGTGGTTCTTGGTAACACAGATGAGCTATACAAAATCAGGCAACAACGTAATGAAGCTCTCTTGTGTTATCTTGCACTTTAAATAAACTTCTTGATTTTTAATTGACTGGATAAGTAAGCTTCTGAAACTTTTTTTTTTTTAGGTTATGACATGTCAACGTTTATCAGACGGTATAGTAGGTATCTGAATGAAAAGGCAGTTTCCTATAGACAAGTGGCTTTTGACTTCACAAAAGTAAAAAGAGGGTAAGGGCTGTATTTTGTTTTGCTTTATCTTGAGATCTTGTCTTATGTCCAGTAATTGAAGTGGAAAAGTACCAGTGTTGACTCCAGCTTAGTACAGACAATAAAATTTACTTTTCTCAGCTGAGTATCTGCTACGACACAAAAAGGCTCAACTGCCCAATTATGTATATAGCAAAAATACTTTACTTCATTTGTTGTCATTTTAGTTCTTTAAACATTAACAGTTGCATATTGTTTTTCATTTCTTTATATTAATCAAAGTATATAACAAAAAAGAAGCTTGGATAAATCTTCCATGATACATCAGTTACTGTGTCTTGCATGTAGTGTAGGGGACTGTGCAATTTACTTGTGCTTCTACTTCTGGAATGGTTAAGTGGCACAGTCCTTCCTGGTGTTTGTCTTTCTTGTCCCAAAATGTCTTGATAAGTTTTACTGCCTTTGTAAAGGTAGTGCAAGTTGTGCTTTTAAGGGGACATTGTGGTCGATACTATTCTGAGTTTGTCTACAGGAATTTAAAAGTTCTCCTGGAAAGTGAGGTCCTTTAAGAGAAATTGGTTGTTTGAGACTAGATACCTATTTACATGTAAAATAACACCATGCAGAGCACCAGTAGTTGGATAAATTGCATATTAGAATGAATAATGGATTAACTTGAAGATCTCTTCTCTCAGGAGGGCTGGAGAGCGTGTACTGGTCATGGTTGAAAATCTTTCCATCTTTGTCCATCATATCTGCAAGCAGTGCTTTTTAAAGCTTAAAAACATGATTTTACTTTAATATTTGTGCATCCTTTATCCATACACAGGATAATTTATATTGATACTAAAAACTTCAGTTGAGGTTTTTGTGGGTTAGGAATTAAAGCAGTTTAAAGAGTTTGCTGCAGTAGTGGGTTGTCTGGTGATCTCTTGCATTAGTGTTATAGAAGCATTTGAAATTGGCCTGAGAACACTGTCCGGAGCCTGAATGCCTCCTTGCTGGTACTGTTTGACCACTTGCTGGCGTTTGGTTTTGAAATGTGATGGTGAAGTAAAAGGGGAGTGCTTGGACTCTTTCGCTTTTTCTGCCTTCAGAGATGATTGGAGTGCCAACAACACAGAAAGTTGGCCTTTTCCACGGATAGGATGGGTGTGTGGTCAGGGACTGCAGATACACTGGAGATACAGACAGCTGTTTTATAATGGGGTGTTTTAGGCCTAATAAGGTAAATTATTCAGCCAGCAGCATGTCCCTGGAGGTC